AAGCAGAAGAAAGGAAATAATTAGTGCAGAAATCAGTAAAATTGAGAAAAACAATGAAACCAAAAGCTAATTCTTGAAAAAGATAAATGAAATTGATTAACCTCTAACCAATCTAATAAAAAAGAGAGGTGACACAAGTTACTAATATCAAAAAGGAAAGTTGGGATATCACTACAGATGCCATGGACATTAGAAGGATAACAAAGGAATGCTATGAATAACTCTATGCCCACAAATGTGAAAACCCAGATGAAATTATTCAATTCCTTGAAATACATAAAACTCACATAAAAATAAATAGACCATCTGAATAGGCCTATATGTATTAGAGAAATTAAATCAATAAATTTCTAACCTTCCAACACATGTACCAGGCCCAGATGAGTGCACTTGTGAATCCCACCAAACATTTAAAGAAGAGATTATACCAATTCTCTACAGTCCCTTCCGGAAGACAGAAGCAAAAGAAATACTTGGTGATCTGTTCTCCAAGGACAGCATTGCCCTAATACCAAGCCAAACAAAGACATCACAAGAAAAGAAAACGGCAGATGAATATCTAACATTAACATAGATGCAAAAAGTCTCAACAAAATATTAGCAAATTGAATCAATGTATAAAGAGGATTATATACCACAACCAAGTGGGGTTTATCCTACTTATGCAAGGCTAGTTCCAGATTTAAAAATTAAGTAATGTGATATTACCTATCACATCAATACAATAGGTTAAAGAAGAAAATTCATATGATCATATTAATAGATCTAGAAAAATGATTTAACAAAATCCAAACTTATTAACAATAAAAATTCTCAGCAAACCAGGAATAGAGGGGAACTTCCTCAACTTGATAAAGATCATCCACAAAAATCTTACAACTAATGGCAAGAAAGTAGAAGCTTTCCCATTAAGATCAGGAACAAGCAAGGATGTCCCGTCTCACCATTCCTTTTCAACATTGTACTGGAAGTCCTAGTAATATAGTAAGGCAAATAAAGGAAATAAAATGTATACATAATGAAAAGAAAGAAATCAAACCAATTTTGTTCACAAATGACATGACTCTATGTAAAACATTTGAAAGAATCTACAAAAAAATATTCCTGGAGCTAATAAGCAATTATAGCAATGTTGCAGGATATAAGGTTAATATACAAATGCCAATTGTTTTCCTATTTTCTGGCAATGAATAAGTGAAATTTGAAATTAAGGACACAATATCATTTACATTAACACCCCACAAAAATGAAATACTTAAATGTAAATCTAATAAAATATATACAAAATCTATATGAGGAAAACTACAAAACTCTGATGAAAGAAATGAAAGAATAAACAAATGAAGAGATATTCCATCCTCACAGATAGGAAGACTCAATATTGCCACAATGTCAATTTTTCCAAATTTGATCCATAAATTCAATGTGATTCCCAAGTAAATAAATTCAAAATCCCAAGTTATTTTGTGGATATAAACAAACTGATTCCAAAGTTTAGATAGAGGAGCAAAAGACCCACACGAGCCAATACAACATTGAAAGATAAGAACAAAGTCTGAAGATTGACTTTACCTAACTTCAAGACTTACCATAAAGCTGCAGTAATAAGACAATGTGATATTGGCGAAAGAATAGACCAGCAGATCAATGAAACTGAGCAAGGAGTATACAGCAACCTCTGGCATCAGGAACTGCCTGCCACTTAGAGCCTGGCTGCTGCTGGGAGCTGTCCTGGTGCTCAAAGCTCAACAGCTGTGTTTTCCTGTTGAAGGCAAGTCATCCCGCAGAATGCTAGCAGACCAGGCCATTCTGTGACCATGATGCCGTGAGACAGACAAAAACAAGCCTGCTGTGCCCTCTCACAATACCAGACACCCCTCTGCTGCTATGAGTGACTGCGGCTTTTATTGTTGATTTATGTGTTGCAGCATCCAATCCCGACCAAATTCCGCTGCCTTGGAACCTCTGCAAAATGAACTAACCAAAGCTCAAACCCTATAATTCCTTCCTAGCACCCTCTTACTAAAACAGTTCATGCAACGACTTCATTGCAACCCTATTGAAATCCAAGTTGCTCAATTGCAAGTGTGTTGCTGATGGGATTTGGCTGCAGCATTGACATCGTCCACAGTTATTAATTGGAGTTCTGCTAGGAGGCTCTGTCCCTTCTCCCCTTCAGTTTACTCATTCCTTCGTTTTATTTATATGGGCACCTGGAGATTATTTCATCCCTTGGGCTCTAATCCATTCCTGTATTTATCATTTTGCTAAATATGTCCCAGCTTTGGTCGTTGGGAGCTCTTTCAGGATGGCTCTGTGTCCTTTTCTCCCCATAGGAAGAGGCTTCCAGGGCAGTTTTACGTTCAGAGCAGAACTGAGCAGAGAGTGCAGAGCGTTCCGGTCTGTTTTCTGTGCCCCAATCCCTATAGCCCTCCCTACCATGAACGTTCTGCCACAGAGCGGTACATTTGCTACTCAATGATCTGAACTTGATAAATCATTATGACCCCAGATGTATGTGTAACATAAGAAAGGGGGCTTATGTTATAAATCTAAACTAAGTCAGACTGGACTTATGGGGAACATCTGTTAAGGAACCTACCACATTAATCACAACCCTCCAACTCAGCGTTTGTTAGCTTACTCCACCCTAAAAGCTAGGACCTTCCATGTGAGGAAATCTCTGATCTAGCAATCATGCCATTTCCTGTTGCCCCTTCAAGCGCTCTGTAACACTTGCTCTTGTCCAAAATCCATCAGAAGAGTGATCCATTGCTTGCTAGGCATGTACTTCCCCATTCTGTGGTTTGTTCTCCCTTGAATAAAGCACATGAAACTCATGCTGGATTGTTTTAGTTTTGGCATTTGACTCATATGTCTTTACCTTAAAAGGTACACTTTGAACAGTTCAAAAATTTCCCTTCATAAACTTTATATTAGTTTCCAAACACATAGAAAAGTAGAAAACAGTAAAATGAGAATACCAGTATTCTAGAGGTAGAACATGATAACATTTTCCTATATTTGCCTTTCTAGTTAATTACAAATAAATAAAACAACGCTAAGTACTTTAATATGCATCTTGAAGAAAGTAAACTTGCCTAGATAATCCCAATGTTGTTATAAGAATGAACAAAAGTAACGATTACTTCCCTTGATACCAGTCCTATACCAATTTCCACATTGTTCCCAAATGTTCTGTTTTCTCCAGTCAGGACCCAATCGAGGACCACACACTGTGTTCGCCGGTAAGTGAAAGTTTAGCCCATAACCTCTGGGCTGTGGTAGAATCTGCTCTCCAGTTATCAGT